CTACCCCCTGGCTAATACCACTCCATGGACCCAACCTCCATGACGTTATCTAACTTCTCTTTAAACTCTGTTCTAGTTCTAGCCTTCACAGCCTCCTGCAGCAAGGAGTTCCACAGGCTGACTATTTGCTTTGTGAAGAAGAACTTTCTGTTATTAGTCTGAAGCCTGCTACCCATTAATTTCATTTGGTGTCCTGTAGTCCTTGTATTATGGGAACTAATGAAGAACTTTTCTGTATGCACCCTCTCTACACCACTCATGCTTTTATAGACCTCTATCATATCCCCCCCTTCAGTCTCCTCTTTTCTAAGCTGAAAAATCCCAGTCTCTTTAGCCTCTCTTCATATGGGACCTGTTCCAAACCCCTGATCATTTTAGTTGCCCTTTTCTGAACCCTTTCCAAGGCCAAAATATCTTTTCTTGGGTGAGGAGATCACATCTGTACATAGTACTGAAGATATGGCGTACCATAGTTTTATACTTCCCCTCCTCCTTCTTCCCCTGGCTTCCCCCTTCCAGCTCCCTCCTCCCAGGTTTCCCCCTCCCCTCTTCCACCCTCTCTCTTCCCCTCTTCCACCTCCTTTTCCCTGTCTCCCCAGAGGTTAATCCCCCCCCAGTTTTGTTTTATTCCTACTTGAAAGTATTCCTTGAAAGTAGGAATAAAAGATCCTCCGGAAAAGGCTTTATTTTCCGGAGAATCACATCTAGACTGGCGCTTTTCTCCGGCTTATCTCCAAGCCGGAAAAAAGCAGCAGCCATGTTAATGCAAATCCCGCGGGGGATATTTAAATCCCCCGCGGATTTGCCTATTCCAAAGTGTCTAATCTGCATCCCTTTTCCGCAAAAGGGGTGCAGTGTAGACACAGCCTTCAAGTGTATGGACTGGAGACACATTCCAAGGCTCCAGTTTCACCAGCAGGTGTTCATCAACAGGGACTCGGACACTAAGCCCTGTTTTCAGAGGCTTCAAAGATGTAGCACATGATACGTCGCCTCGATTCAACTCAGCCTTTAAGATGAGCATCATTCTTTTGATGCTGAAATCAAACACATGCAGAAGTTTAATTAACACCACTTAAAAATGAATAAATGTCTCCAGCATAATGCCTCTGGGACACCCAGGAGAAGTAGAACTCACAAAAAACATAAAATAAACTTATTTTATTTGCCACTCGTTTCCAGGTTATCAAAAATGCATCTGTAGTGAGCTTGTACTTGAGGGTTATTATTTACTCAATATCACAGATAAAAATACGCATGCCCTAGGGCCTTCCCCCCCTTAAACCAAAACCTGGGATGAATGGATAAGGGTGGCCTGAATCCAACCTGGACTTTGTTTGATTGAATGGCCTTGTCGTTAAGGTACTAGATGGGGATGCAGGAGAAAAAGGGTTAGTTTCTGATGGCCTCTGTGACCTTTGTATAATCACTTCATCTCAGAGGCCAGGACTACACTCAACCTGGCAGCTCAGCTTAAGGTATGCAACTCCAGCTACGTAGAATATATAGCTGGAGTCGGCGTACCTTAAGCCGAGCTTGGCAGTGTTCCCACAGCAGGAGGCTGACAGGTGCAAATACTCGTGGCAGCTTCCCTTACTCTTGGCAAGGGCAGGAATACCGGATGCCAGCGAGGGTGCCCTCTGAGTTTGATTTAGCAAGTCTTAACTAGACCCGCTAAATTGAACTCTGGAAGATGGATCACAGCAGCATCAATCTTCCGCAGAGTGAAGACGTGGCTTCAGCCTCTGATCTCCAAGTGTGAAATGAGGTTAAAAGGCCCCCCCCCTTTCACAGCCTTGTGCCTGGTTGGTCTATTTAGGTTGCAATCTCTTGCCGTGTGTGCGCTACACCCAGCTCAACCTGGTCCCAGCTGGGTGTTCTATTAAAGCGGGTAATAAAAAATAACACTAATAATATTTAGGGACGTGAGCTCCAGAATTGAATGCATGCATCCAACGAAGTGGGCTTTACCCACAAAAGCTTGGGCCCAAATAAATCGGTCAGCCTATCAGGTTCCAAAGGACTCCTCACTGTTTTTCCAGAATCAGAGACTCCCCTCAGAGATAACTTAGCTGAAAAATACCCAGGGACTGGCAGCTGGAGCACTTTCCCCTCACTTTCTCATAGTCCAAGGCAGGGGAAGAAGACCTGGTACATGTAGCTGCAGCCGTCTCCCTCGCCCTCCCAAAAGGGTGCCAAGGACGGTGGGGCTGAGAGCACCCCAACCCCGCCAGCCCCTTTCACTCGCTTGGCTCCCTGCGACTTAGCCAGGCAGGCTGCAAGAGAGCCTTGGGAGACCTGCCTGGCTGGGGGCAGCTGCAGCCGAGCGCCCCAACCGGCTGGCTTCAGGCTGGAGCGCTGCACCGGGGCACACCGACTTCCTTTCCCTGCTGGTCTCAAGGGGAAAACAGAGGACACGGAGGTGTGCAGTGTGGTATCCATAGAGAAGAGAGTAGCAAAACACAGCACTGCCTCTATAAAAGAGGATGAATGGCCACCCTCCCCACAGCAGGATCTGCAGCAGGGGTGTGGACTTCTGTCTTAGGCCCAGTTACAGCTGTGCTGGGCAAAAGCAGCTTGGGAGGGGATTCTAGCTCCTTGCATGAAGTTTCTAAGGGGAGCATTTCTGGGCCTTCGGTCCCATTTAATCACTTTAGGCAAGTCGCGATTTACAAAAACCGGGGGGAAAAAATCGATTCTACTCCCAGTGGAAGTGACAGAGCGCTTTGAACCAGGACCTTGGGTGAGGTCAAATCCCAGGCACTCTAGACACATGGGCTCTTAAAGGGACAGGTGAGTGCTGAGTTATGTTCTCATTACTATTTCACTGGCATTCAACAGCCCTTCTTCTGAAGACGGGAAAATGGCAAGTGAGCGATTAAAATTCTACACCCAGCGCTGATCCAAAAGTTTGAACAGTCAAGTCTGAAGAGAACAATTGGGGGGAAGCAATTGATCCGTGTCTAAAGGCCATTCACAAAGTCCCCTCTGGGCTCTCCGGCTATGCAGCAGAGGAAGCGTCTGGAAGGTGCTTATCACTGAATTCCAAGGCATTCCAGGGAAGTTTTGGCAGCAGGAAGGGGACTATAAAGTGTAACAACCCGGCTTATCATATCCAAACTCTGCTTTTGAGCTCCCGGTGCATGACCCCAGGGACCATTATTAGTCTTGTGGGCTGGGGGAAGACTATGACATTCCCTGTTATGAAAGGAACACAGTGTAGCAACTTCTACGATGAATTCAGGGAGCAAGTATGACATGTTCCAACCAGCCTCGGGGTCGCAAAGTCAACCGGCACAAAACAGCAGCGACCGTGAGATGTGCTGATAAAGACCGATGGGAGGGGGGAAGAAATAAACTTCCTTTCATGGGGATCCCTCTCTTTTGTGGGCACAGTTTGTACCTTAGCCCAGGCAACAATATTTCCCCTAATTCACAAAGATTCCGCTGCCTATTGAGTCTGCTTGTCCTGCACTTACAAATCAGTGTAAAGTCCCTTGTGAGCCAAGGAAGCTATGCCAGACCGCACCTTGCATTTCTGCTGTGCAAGGCTAAATACATCTTGCCTTCTGCACATCTGCCTGTTACACCGGTCCAAGGCACTGCCGGCGGAGAGGGAAAGTGATGGTATTCATAGAGAACGTAGTCTGCAACGTTATGCCACCACCACACAGACCTCCGTGGTTACTCAAGGGAATTGCACCGGCAAATTGTCTCTATTAATTTTGGAATGGGGCCATACGTCATCTGCGTAAGGTTTCAAGAACCTCTCACCGTCTATGGGCATATATTTTTGTGAAAAACTTGTGGCTGGCTTTATCCCGGGGGATCACGCTTCGTGTGCTCAATTAATACTGTATTGCATGGAAGTAAGCAAACGTTGCCTAGTGCTGAAATGCGTTGGATAGGACTTTAGTCCCCGGTGCTTTGCCATTTGGCAGTTTATCATTACCAATCCCAATGGTAATTATGGAAACAACAACAATCACGAAAAGCTGCGAAAAGCGCCTTTGCCTTCAATATGTGCATCGAATACACCTTGCCCTCCGAATCCAGTCTGATTGAGACATGCTAACAAAACTTGCCGCTGTAATGTCCTGGAAAGACTTGGGGTTGGGGACAGATATTCTCCCTTTAGGCAGTGTGACTTCAAAAGAGAGAAAGGGACACTTGGATTTTCTTACAAGCACCTGTAGTTGCCCAGTGGTGTTCTAGAGGATGGAGGGAAAGGAGCAGAGAATAATATAACACAGTTGGGGCCCTAGCAAATTCGCAGTCCATTTTGGCTAATGTTATGGTATTGGATTTTTAAAATGGCAAATTTTAATATTTCACCTGTTTACATTTGAAATGTCACAGTGGAATTGTAGGGGTCCTGACCCCAAAAGATCGAGTGGAAGTGACAAGGTTACTGCATGGGGACTGGGGTATGGCTACCCTTACTTCTGCCTGGCTGCTGGCAGCAGCATTGTTTTCAGAGTTGGGCAGCTGGAGAGCAGCAGCTGCTGGCCAGGAATCTAGCTCTGAAAGCAGAGTTACCATCAGCAGCAGAGCAGAGGGAAGGATGACCTGGTATGATACTGCCACCCTTACTTCCGTGCTGTTGCTGGAGGGATGCGGCTCCATGGGGCCACCATTACAACTACCTCTCTTCCATTGGCCAGGGCTGAAGGCGGCTTAGAAATAAGAGTGGCAATATTCTGATGCATCTGACGAAGTGGGTCTTTGCCCATGAAAGCTTATGCTCCAATAAATCTGTTAGTCTATAAGGTGCCGCAGGACCCCTTGTCACAGTGGTAATACTGTGACTCTCTTAAAATAACCTTGTGACCCTCCCGTTTGGGTCAGGACCCCCAATTTGAGAAATGGTGGTTTCCCCTGTGAAATGTGTATAGTGCAGGGTAAAAGCACTCAATAGGCCAGATTTCATAGGAGGACACCAGATTTCATGGTCCATTATATGTTTTGCATGGTTTTGAGCTTGGTAGGGCCTTAAATATTGAATCATAGAACTGGAAGGGACCTTGAGAGGTCATTGGCTACATCTAGACTACATCCCTTTTTCGGAAAAGGGATGTAAATTAGACGTATTGCAATTGCTAATGAAGAGAGGATTTAAATCTCCCGCGCTTCATTAGCATAAAAATGGCTGCCGCTTTTTTTCGGCTCGGAGCTTTGTCGGAGAAAAGCGCCAGTCTAGACGCTGATCGTTCGAAAAATAAAGCCTTTTCCCAAAGATCCCTTAGCTCTTATTTTCCGAAAAAGGGATGTAGTCTAGACGTAGCCATTGTGTCCAGTCCCCTAACTGTCTAGACCATCCCTGATAGACAGTTATCTAATCTACTCTTAAATATCTCCAGAGATGGGGATTCCACAATCTCCCTAGGCAATTTATTCCAGTGTTTAACCACTCTGACAGCAAGTTTTTCCTAATTGCCAACCTAAACCTCCCTTGCTGCAATTTAAGCCCATTGCTTCTATCTTCAGAAGCCAAGGAGAACAATTTTTCCTCCCTCCTTCTTGTAACACCCTTTAAGATATTTGAAAACCGCTATCAAGTCCCCTCTCAGTCTTCTTTTTTCTAAACTGAACAAGCCCAGTTCTTACAGTCTTGCCTCATAGCTCATGTTTTCTAGACTTTTAATCATTTTTGTTGCTCTTCTCTGGACCTTCTCCAGTTTCTCCACATCTTTCCTTACATGTGGTGCCCAGAACTGGACACAATGCTCCAGCTGAGGCCTAATCAGTGCAGAACTATGACCCTAATTTCCAAAGCACTTACAACCCCTCCCAGCTTGGTATCATCTGCAAACGTAATAAGCACACACTCTATGCAATCATCTAAATCATTGATGAAGAATATTGAACAGAACTGGTCCCAAACCAGTCCCTTGAGGAAATCCACTTGTTCTGCCCTTCCAGCATGACCGTGAACCATTAATAGCTACTCTCCAAGAATGGTTATCCAGCAAGTTATGCACCCACCATATAGAATCCCCATCTAGGTGGTATTTCTGTAGTTTATTGATAAGAAGGTCATGTGAGACTGTATCAAATGCCTTGCTAAAGTCTAGGTATACCATGTCCACTGCTTCTCCCTTATCCACAAGACTTGATATCCTATCAAAGAAAATGATCAGATTGGTTTGACATGTTTTGTTCTTTACAAATCCATGCTGTTACCTATCACTTTATTATCTACCAGATGTTTGCAGATGGATTCCTTAATTACTTGCTCCATTATCTTCCCTGGCACAGAAGTTAAACTGACCGGTCTGTAGTTTCCTGGGTTGTTCTTATTTCCCTTTTTATAGATGGGCACTATATAGCTCTTTTCCAGTCTTCTGGAATCTCTCCCAAGTTCCATGACTTTTCAAAGATGATAGCTAAAGGCTCAAATACCTCCTCCATCAGCTCCTTGAGTATTCTAGGATGCATTTCATCAGGCCCTGTTGACCTGCGGACATCTAATTTTCTAAATAAGAAGCCCTGATTTCATACATTAGAACATCGGTGTTCTTGCACAAAAACTCCCCGCCAGTGTAGACAGGCAGCATATTTTTGCACTAAAGCGGCCGCTTTGGCGCAAGATCGCACCAATGTAGACACAGCCTAAGGGAATTAACACTGGTTCTGGAGCGCCCCCTTCTAGCTGGTGCCTCACCTGCTGTTACCTATCCTTCTCCACCACTCTAAGTCAGGACCCATGTCCCTTCCAGACTGTGGTGTCCTTCTGGGATCCTCCCCCTCTGGGAACCTCCAGCTCCCTAGGCCCACCTTGCCTCAGTGTCCCACTGCCAGTCTTCCTCTAGCCCCTTACTTCAGGGGACACTGCTGTCTGAATCGGCCACTCAGCATTGGCAGAGGGGGTGGACCTGCTGCTTTTGCCTGCCCTGACTGCCTCCCCACTTCCCTAGTACCCTGAGGCCTTGCTTCAGGCCCTGCAGCCTGGGAGCTTGCCTGGCCCAGAGCTTCCATGCTCTGCTCTGCTCTGCTCTGCTCTGCTCTGCTCTGCTCTGCTCTGCTCTGCTCTGCTCTGCTCTGCTCTGCTCTGCTCTGCTCTGCTCTGCTCTGCTCTGCTCTGCTCTGCTCTGCTCTGGCCTCCAGCTTCCCTGGCAGCCAGATCCCTCCTACTCCATAGCTGGAGCAAGAGTGAGTCTCCCTTTCTCCCTCCTGGAGCCCTTATTTATACAGCCCACAGCTGGGCCCTCATTGGCAGCTATCTGCTGCAGCTGTGTGCTCCATGGCTCCAGCCCTCGCCCAGGGCTGGGTTTTAACCCTTAAAGGGCCAATGTGGGGCAGATGCCCTGTCACAGCAAGGCACTAATTGTATTTATAAAGCCCCCTCCTTGTTTGCAAGGGTTGTTAAATCTAGTCTGCGAGCGTGTCTCTTTCACATGTACCCACCCAGGCAGAAAATACGTGTTGTATTTGGAGGCAGATGTATAATAGGCTGCAATAGTGATATCTGCTTTTCAGAAGTCACCCCATTTCATAGTCATAATTACTACGCTCTGTCTTGAGCCATTCCCTTTAAAAAATTGGTTAAGGAGTAAAGATTTAGAAAAAAAAAAGACAACACAGTTTTAGTTTCAGTTAAAAAGGAGGCAGCAACTATCAGACTATTCCAGATGCCTGTGATGAAACAGCAAATGAGATCAGAAAACATACAGCAAGAGAGATGTAATGTGTGTGTTGGGACAATGCCAGATACTGTTGGTGCAAGCAGATACTTCTTTCTAGACCATTTCAGGTTCTTGCCTTCATCAAATCAAGTGTGCAGGTGTAACCCACACCCCTTGGCTGTGTCTACAATGGCACGATCTTGTGCCAAAGCGACCGCTCTTGTGCAAAAACTTGCTGCCTGTCTACACTGGCTGTGTGTTCTTGTGCAAGTAAACTGATGCTCTAATGTATAAAATCAGGGCTTCTTGCACAAGAACTATGATGCTCCCACTCAGGAATAAGCCCTTTTGCAGAACTGTTCTAGCTCAAGAGGCCAGTATAGACAGGCAACATTAATTTCTTGCGCAAGAAAGCCCTGTGGTTAAAATGACCATCGGAGCTTTCCTGCGCTTTCCTACACTGGCATGGATGCTCTTGCGCAAAAGCCCATCTCTTGCGCAAATGCACATGCCAGTGTAGACGCTCTCTTCTGGAAGAGTTTTTGCACAAGACCTCCTCCACAAAAGAGTTTTTGTGCAAGAAGCTGCCAGTGTAGACGTAGCCCTAGCGTGGTTCACTGTCCCATGTAGTGGTATTTAGACCACTTACAGCAAGAGCTAAGAAAAAGGGAGCTCTACAGCCAAAGCTAGAAGGCAGATGGCTTTATAGCTCAAGTGTAGCAGCTCCTACCCTTAGCTCCAGAGGTCCCAGGTTCAAATGCACCAAGTGGTGGTTACATAATTACTCCCAGAAGAGTTCTGTCTCTAGGGGTGCATCTGCACTGTACCCTTAGCTCAAAATAAGATGTGCAAATTGTATATCTTCTTCCAAAATAGGCTATTTCAAAATTT